CTGGCAGTGGCACTGCTGTGGGGTCCTTCCCCCCTGCCTCCCTGCTCTTTCCTGCTGTCCCCTGCTGGGCTTTGGAGGAATAGAGAGGAAAGACCCTTACCTTAGACGAGTTGAATCCTCCAAGTTTCACCTGATGTTTTAAAACCACACAAATATTCCAGAGTTCACCAAGTTACATTTCACGGAGCTCTACTCTCACTTTCACTACTCAGCTGTTGGAATTCACTGTACGGTCTGACCATGCGTGTTTACATCCACTTTTAGAGTGCATGGTCCCTTGCTTGAACGGCATCAGAGTGACCAGAGGTGCTTGTGGAAGACCCAGAAGGGAGGCGTTTGTATCCTCAGCCCACGTGACCCCAGGAAAGGAGACTTGGGAAATCGCTGGGGGTTTACCCCCATCTGATAGAGCTGCCTTCTCTACGTGTAACTTGGTGTTAAAATTTCCTAGTTTGTGTTCCGTTGTGCAGATGTGCCGGATTTTATTTTATTTTATTGATTTATTTATTTTTTGACAGGCAGGAGTGGACAGTGAGAGAGAGAGACAGAGAGAAAGGTCTTCCTTTGCTGTTGGTTCACCCTCCAATGGCCGCCACAGCTGGCGCACTGTGCTGATCCGAAGGCAGGAGCCAGGTGCTTCTCCTGGTCTCCCATGCGGGTGCAGGGCCCAAGCACTTGGGCCATCCTCCACTGCACTCCCTGGCCACAGCAGAGAGCTGGCCTGGAAGAGGGGCAACTGGGACAGAATCCGGTGCCCCGACCGGGACTAGAACCCGGTGTGCCAGCGCCGCAAGGCGGAGGATTAGCCTAGTGAGCTGCGGCGCCGGCCGATGTGCCGGATTTTATCCCTTCATCTTTAGATGAGCTCTGTGGTTGTTTCTATGTCTCAGCTATTATGCTGTAGTGAACTTGCAAGTGCAGCATCTCTTGCATAGACTGACTTCCTTTCCCTGCATATGCACTCAAGAGTGGAATGCTGGATTGGATGGGGGTTCTAGTTTTTGCTTTTTGAGGAGTCTCTAAACTTTTCCACAATACATGCCCAATAGTGGGCAAGGATTCTCTTTTCTCCACACTTGACCAGCACTTGTTATTTGGGTCTTTGATAAAAGCCTTTCTACCTGGAGTCAGGTAATGGCCCATCATGATTTTCATTTGCATTTCCCTAAGTTATAAAACAGGCTTAGCAAGATAAAATGCAAAATTTGTAGGCAGTGATCTTAAACCTAATGTCTCACTGCAGCTGAAACCAATTTTTGTACGTGAGATTGTTATTTACAAAAGACATCTTTTTAGATTTAAGTTGAATTTTAGTCTTATTTTCTATTTACCCAAAAAACCCCTTAGGACAATGATGCTTAGTCGACATTCTGCTTCTTAGGACTGCCTCTGAAGCAAAAATTTCAGGCAGCTGCAAGACAGGTCCCATGGGTGACTGTGGACTAGGGACCAAGGTGCCAGGGACAAGAAGTGCACTGGAGATTGTTCACCATTACGTTAGGTTTAATGGGAGAGGACAGCCATCAGAGCAGATGGGCACCCTCCAGAGAAATGCCTGAGGAGGAGAATCTGATAGGTGACAGAATAAAAGGCAGTGACCTAAAGAGGCTCCTGGAAGCGTCTGTGAAGAGGCAAGCCAGAGGGAGAAAAATTGGAAGCCCTGCAAAGAGATAATAACTTTATACTCCAGACTAAATTCCATTCAACTTTCATTTTATTTTTATTCTTATTTCAAATTTAAAAAAAAATTCATTTATTTATTTGAAAGCAGAGAGAGAAGGAAACACCATTCACCTTCTGATTCTCTCCCCAAATACCTGCGATCATTGGCAAGCACTTGCCAGGCAGTTGATCAGTACTCTCTTGAATGATGAGGCCCCATAATGTGAGCCCTCACCTGTTACCAGGGTGCACAGCAGCATGAAGCTGGAATCAGGGGCAGAAAAGGGACTCAATCCCAGTCACTACAACACAGCATTGGGATGTCCACATGGTGTCTTAACTCCAGACCAAGTGTCTGTCCTCTTTTTTCTTTTAATTTTAGCTTTGTCCCCCTTTCATTTTACTGATTATAGAGTACCCTCTGAAGTTACATTCAATATTTCTTATTTACATTAAAGAGCTGTCAAGCCTTGGCATTACAATGATCCTGCAATGAACAGAATAGTACATACACACCATTTCAACTTGGGTATACAAGTCTATGAAAGAAATTACAAAAGGTACAATTGGTGTATAAAAAGTCACCTACATTTTAATTTTTCATACATAACTGTAAGAGTTGACACTCACACTAGCAAATATGAGCAACTCTCAATTTCCCAAATGCCTTGGTTTCTCAGTGTGCTATTAAAGCTCTTTTTCCTTGCCCTTTATGCAACTGAAAAAGGAACCACATAATTTTACTTTGCATATCTTTTATTATCAGTAACATTAAGCATTTTTTTATTTTGGCTATTTAAAAAATGTGGTTGCTGTTCTAAACTCATTGATATTCAAGGACTCATCACAACTTAAATATCTCCATCTGTAGCACAAATTACACATTTTTTCTTTATCTTGCCGTGAATTTTAGCTTTCATTCAAATTGTTTTTATGAACAATTTCATTATATTCCAATTAACAGCCCAATTTGTCATAATAATTCAATAAAAATTCAGTTTTTCTTTTTAGGATACAAGGTCCTGTTATCCTTTAATAATTATATTTATTTTTTAAAATTTTTAATGAAACTTCCATGACATACATATTTTTTACAATGAGCAACGCTGTTATGCTATTAAAATGAAAAAAGAAAGCCCATTTTATATTTTCCTGCCCAAGAAATCTCAGCCTATAACTTTCTTAACAGCCTTGAAATAACTTCTGGTGACAGCTTAGTCAATACAGAACCAAATGTACTACCCAGGAAAGAAGGAAGTACTGAAAACAACACTTGTCCTTGATTTTTAATTACTTCAATCTCTTCTGTTAGCCGCTTGATCTTTTTATTTACCTTAGCAGCATCCTTTTTAAATACTTCTGTAAGCATGTCTTTTTGAGCCTATGAAATGAAAAGTCCACTTTCAAAACCTTTTTCATTAAGCATAAGAGTTTTACATTTAACTATGTCAGTATTTAAGCACATATGTCTATTTGTCTACCATTTTAGAAGGTTTTTTTTAGGAATTTGTCCTCCAATATAGCCAGAAGTTTTGTCTTGAATAGGAGAAAATCCATGATTTAACTTTTGTGAGTTTTCCTTAGCATCATTTCCCCAGGGAAAAGTGGGGAGTTTTGTATAGGGACAAAGAAAGCTCATTGGGAAAGAATGTGGATTAAATTCTAATTGGCTCTCATTTCCATGAGGTGGCACAGCTGAGCTCATCCAGCAACTCGTGAGAAGTGCTGACACCACACAGGACAGTGCTTATCAAACCCCACGCTGGGACAAAGGATGTGTATGTTACTTTAGTCATAAAGGATGATCAGGCAGATCTGGAAACAATGGACCAGATTCAGAGTCCTCCATTTTCTATCAGGTCAAATTTGATATTATCAGACCAGATAAACCTATTTCAGTCTCTTTGAGAGTTGTTCCAGAAATCTCAAGCACCAGTAGCTAAGGTCCCATTGCATAGGGGCTTAGTGAGACCATTTCACAATTGGAGCAACAACTGCAGCCCCAAACCCAGGAGAATGTCATTTGTGTCTCCAAAGTCCAACACTCCATAAGTGGCTGGAGACTCCTAGATTTCCATGCTTCAGGGGGACCCAGGTGTATTTGAGGTTGCAGTGGGACAATTGTCTTTTAGGTTCCCTCTGGGATGACACCTGTGCTTGACATTGGGTCCCGCCCTTCCCAGGATCCAGAACACTGTCCCCCGGGGCACCGCCCAGCCCCCAGACTCACCTTCAGCTTGTGCTCCAGCATCCTCTCCTGCTCTCTGAGGAGGTCCTCCCTTTCCCGCTCCATCTTCTCCTTCAGTTGAGCGATGTTCTCCTGGAAGCTTCTCTCTTGAGCCTCCATCTTTTGCTGCATCTCCTGCTCCCTCTGTCTTAGCACTTCCCGTTCCTTCTCAGCGGCCTCCCTCTTGGCCTCCTCAGCTGTTTCACAAACATTAACAAGGGAAGAAAAACTGTTGAGTTCAAGACCAGGCAGCTTTAACAGCAATGCTGCAAGTGGGAGGGGAAGATCTTCCCCTAAACAGCAAGAGGATGTTTCAGAATGTGCCAGAAAGGCACTGATTGGCTGGATGTGCAGCCCAACTGCCCTTGTTATTTTCAGGTTTAGCAGACCATGTGCTCAGTAGTCTGGAGAAGTCTCTTGCTCCAGGAAAAACTTCTTCTTCAATAAATAGGCGGGCTTCGCATGAACCTTCCCACCCTCCTGTGAGCTGAGCCCGGCCCCGTACCTGCTAGGGCCTTCTCTGCATCAGTGAGAGCCTTGTCTGCCTGCAGGATGGAGTTCTCTGTTGCTGTCTGAGACTGCAGGAAGGTCTGGAGCACCTCAGTTGCCTGGAAACCAGCAAGCAGGAAAAGTACTTCAGGGAGAAAAAATCTAGTCTTCTGATGTGGAAATTATTGTTGATAAACGTATAATTTGGACTTGTAATTTCTGCATCCTTCTTAGGTACAGCAGAAACTCCAAGGTTTTTGGTGAAGCATAGGCACCCTGTGGATCAGCCTCCTTTCTAGCAGTGCAGTCTCCTCAACCAGGGATGCTGCCCACCACCACCTCTATCCCCCATCAGAGGCAGAGTACCCTGTTTGCCTGCAATATTGGCATGCTGTTTTTCTTACGCTTGGATGTTGTTCTACCCTTTAACAAGGATAACATCATTGGATATGTTAACATGTAGCACTTACCTCCCCCTTCAAGAAGCTCTTTTATTCTCCCTAGTTTCTTTGAAATATACCTGGCAAATCACAATTGTGTATGTTTAAAGTGTATAACATGCTGCTTCAACGTATATGTGAGTGCACTCTATAGTTCTTACTATTAAGATAATTAACAGACTAGTCCCCAACTAAAGGCTGCTCTGGTGGGATTCCAAGATGGTGCTTTAAGAAATGACATACTATGCTAGACTAAGGATAAATAGTGAAAAGCAAAACACATAACAATATACAAAAACAAACAAACAAACACAAAACCATAGGAAGTGCACTCTCAGGGAGAAAATGGAGAGAAAATCATACTGGAAATGCTAGAAGATGAATGCTGTGGACCTGTGGAAGGTGTGGACACACAGCACGAACATCCAAACAACATGTGACTGCAGTAACCAAGAGCTCAACTGGGCAGAAGCTTGGAGAAAGAGGTGAGAACAGACTGCAGCAACCCATGGTGACATAGTCAGAGAGAGAGTATGCCATGAGTCCAGACAGGAGCCCTGGGGGCTAGCAATAACCCAGGGAGCCAGTGGAAGTAGAGGGGGCCATATTTATTTCACTCCAACCTCTCCAAGATAGCACCCATTGCCTAGGGGAGAAAGTGTAGGCACCATTTTGGGTTTGGGTGGCAGCTAAAGAAGCCTTTGTGCACATGCACAGCAATTGGCTGGTAGTACCTTTGGCAGTAGTGGGGAATGAGCAATATTCAGCCAGTGTTTGTTGCATATGCACGTGATCCAGAGGTTCCAGTGGAGGGAAAAATCCACAGTCTCTACTGAGTTTGAGACTGGCTGGGAGGAGTGACAGGAGCTGGCCACTCATGTAGGACTGAGATGCCTCCAGCCTCTGAGGATCAAGATGTCTAGGAAGAGCTGGCTCAGGTAACATCTGCTTCTCTGTTGACTGGTCAGGCTGGCAGGGCAGAGTGAATTCTCTGCACTCAGTGGCTGTGGGAGCCTTATGTACTGAGACCATGGAGCTTTGGTGGTTACATAAGAGGGTGCAGGGCATAGCTGGGGATCTGAGTAATCACTGGGTATGGCTCCACATGCTCAGAGCTGCTTTGTTGCCTCAGATGAGTCATTGTAGAGGGAACTGTGTTCACAGTGAAGACTGCGCAGGTCATCTATGTGGTTCATATGGTGGCACAGATGAGTGTTGAACACACTGGAGGCTAACACCAAGGCATTGATCACCTTGGAGGAGAGGAGGTAAGGGGGTATCATACCAACAGAGGTGACCATTCCTCCCTTCTGTTAACAAGAGGAGATCTACCATGACCATCTTGGGTGTTACCCTGATACTCGCCCTACCTTGGAGCACTAACCAAAGTTCCTTGGCCACATGTACCACACACCTTGTGGTATTCACTGAAAGTGCAGATGTGTCACTAAGGCACAGAGGCATAGCTCAAAGATAAAAGCCATCAGAGGAAAAGAAAAAAAAAAAAACAAGTAACTCCACAAATGCCTAAAAATAAATGCAGAAAATCAAGAAGTAAGAATCAGGAAGATACCATGAACCCCCACACCCAAAGGAACACAACATTTCAATATCAGGCTGTGAAGATGAAGAGAGTAATGAAATGCCAAGAATGGAATTAAAAATATTAATCATAGGATTACTCAAAAGCAATCAGAGGAGGAATTAAGGTGGCAGTATAGCACCTGGGGCAAAATAGTTAATGAGCAGAGAAGATAGAAGCTGGTGATAGAATCAAGACAAGTTCACACAGAAAAGCCCAGGAGTCCATCAGAGACTGGGTAGGTCCATGCTAAGGGAGTAAAGAGGAAGGGGAAGTGGCTAGGCACAGCAGAGATGCCAAATGAGGAGACTGGTGTCACTCCCTCCTTCCCCAGTGAACCAAGTGAGAGGTCACAAGTCAATGGAGCTTCGGATAGCAATGGACAGGGAAGCTTGGTGAACTGCAGTTGAAGTGCCAGGTGGGAAGAAGGAGAAATTATAGGGGAAGAAGCAGAGAAGTCGGGCATACCCCCGTCCATCTATGTCTCCCTCCTCGCCTCAATTGGACCTACAACCAGCAGGAAGAAGCCACAATGATTGTTTACATTTTCAAGTGTAAGCAGGGGCTGCCATATTTGCCTCCCATGCACATGCCCATTAATTGTGGGGGCCACCTCACAAAACCCCCAAACTGGGAACAAAGATCACAACATTTCAGATTAGTTTTCTTCCCATCACACAAGCTGTACAACAAGGAGTAGTCCTAAACATCGAAAACCTGAGTTCATCTCATGCACCAGTGAGATGCAAGCCCAGCCCCAGTAGGTGGGGCTTAGTGCACCAAAGCTCTGGTGCACTTCCATCATGATCTAGCAGTAAACAAGGTTCCAGAAGGTGGGGCTGTGTGCTTCCACTTGTGACACACAAATACGTAGCAGCTCACAGCGGAGGGAAATTGCACCACAGGAACAAAGTCACAAATTAAAGACAAAATCAACCAGAAATGCCAAAACACAAAGGAAAAATCCTGAATAAGAACAAGGAATACATTATGAATTCTCCAAAAGAATACAATTCTTCAATAATGGAATCTAAAGAAGAAGAGATTGGAGATATGCCAGAAAAGGAATTCAGAAAATTAATAGGCCAATTACTTAGAAGCAATCAGAAGAAAATTCATGATCTAATGAAAAGCATTCCCCCAAAATTGAGATATTAAAAAGAAGACAGAATGAAATTCTAGAAATGAAGGATTCAATAGATCAAATGAAAAATATAATGGAAAGTCTTAATAATAGAATAGATGAGACAGAAGAAAGAATATCAGAACTAGAAGACAAATTTCCAGAAATAATATAGTCAGACCAAATCTAGGAAGAAGAACTCAGAAAATTAAAAATCACAGTAGAGATTTACAAGATTCTATCAAGGGGTTGGTGCTGTGGCATAGCCAGTAAAGCCACTGCCTGCAGTGCTAGCATCCCATATGGTGCCAGTTCAAGACCTGGCTGTTCAACTTCCAATCCATCTTTCTGCTATGTCTAAGGCCTTGGGCCCCTGCAACCATGTGGGAGACTAGGAAGAAGCTCCTGGCTCCTGGCATCAGATCAGTTCAGCTCCGGCCATTGAAGCAAATTGGGGAGTGAACCAATGGATGGAATACCTCTTTCTTTCTCTCTCTCTCTCTCTATGTGCCCCCCCTTCTCTTTTTGTAACTCTCACTTTCAAATAAATAAATAAATCTTTTTAAAAAAGATTCTATCAAACAACCCAACTTATGAATCCTGGAAATTCTGGAAGGTGTGGAAAGAGAAAGGATTAGAAGGCCTTCTTTGTGAAATAATAACAGAAATTTCCCAATCTGGTGAAAGAAAGTAACATCCAAGTATAAGAAATACACAGAACTCCCAACAGAAATGACCAGACAAGAACTTCACCATGACACATTGTAGCAAAGTTCACCTCAGTGAAGTACAAAGAACACATCTTAAAATATGCACAAGAGAAAGACAAATCACATTTAGAGAAAATCCAATTGGATTCACTCTGGACTTCTCGTTGCAAACCCTGCAGGCAAGGAGACAATGTTGAGACATATTCTAAGTCCTAAGAGAGAAAAATTCAACCCAGAATACTGTACCCTACAAAATTCTCATTTATGAATGAAGGGAAAATAAGGATCTTCCTTAACAAGTCAAAATTGAAAGAATTTGTAACTAATCACCCAGCGCTACAAAAGATACTCAAGGATGTGCTACACACAGAAACACAGAAACAGGAACATTGTTACAAACGAAGAAAAATGCAAAAAATGACCCAGTAAAAGTACAAATGAAATCCAAAATACATAAATAGGGCTATTTACGGAAACATCACAGGGGAAATTTGATACTTAACAATAACAACACTGAATGCAAATGGTCTCAACTCCCCAGTTAAAAGACACAGACTGGCTGAATGGTTTAAAACCCCAAACCCATCTATTTGCTGCCTACAAGAAACACATCTTACCAACAAAAATGTACGCAGAATGAAAGTGGAAGGATGGAAAAAGATAATTCATGTAACAGAAACCAAAAAAGAGCTGGTGTGGCCATCCTAATATCAGACAAAGTAGACTTTAACACAAAAACTATTAAAAGAGTCAAAGAATGACACTGTATAATGATTAAAAGATCAATTCAAGAAGAAGGTGAGACTATTATAAATGTATATGCACCTAATTGCATGGTACATGTCTATTTAAAAGAATTGGTAAGGGATTCAAAGGGAGATATAAACTCAAATACAACACTAATGGGGGACTTCAATACCCCACATTCAGCAATGGACAGATTAACCAGGCAGAAAATCAACAAGGAAACAACAGAGTTAATTGACACAATAGACCACATAGGCCTATCAGATATTTACAGAGCCTTCCACTCTACAGCCACAGAGTACACATTTTTTCTCTTCAGTACGTGGGACTTTCTCTAGGATTGATCATATGCTAGGCCTTAAAGCAAGTCTTAGCAAATTCAAAAAAATTGAAGTCATACCATGCATCTTCTCAGACTACAATGCAATGAAGCTGGATTTCAACAACTCAAGAATCTCTACATCATATGCAAACATATGGAGAATGGACAGCATGTTTCTGAATGAACAGTGGGTCA